CCCCACTCCCCTCCACCATCCATCCCACTTGCGAAACAGAATCTAGGCCATGTGTTGGCTGTACAAGATAAAGAAATCATGACCACATAATTTTAAAAAAAAGCGGGCAGCCTATTTGAAGGAGTGTGTATCCCTGTAATAAGGGATTATATTAGGCTCTGCTGATGAGTCCCTGTTAGTGCCAATAAAATTTACTAGAGGTACAGAGAAAGAAAAAAACCCGGTGTAATTATTACCGGACCCTGTTGTTATCGCCGGTTCTTTTATCAATGGTTTCCACAGCCTCAGCAGAGCTCAGTGTAGTTGATACATAGATCTATTGAAACGTGAGGCCCCCTGGCAAAATCAGGTGCTCGTCAAAATAGGTAAAAAAAATGAAATAGAAGAAAAAGGCGTTTTTCCACCAGTGTGGCAATATTGATCGAAATTTTGTTTTTTGGCTAAACACCTTTACTGTTCATATGAAATGAAAACACAAAGAATTTCCATGTGAATTTTCCTGAAATGTCTTGTCTAAGGCACAAAATACATGACGTAATGTTCAGTTAGCAAGGACACATTTATTTATAAGCTATTGAAGTTACATGTACCAAACTTTGGCAGCCATTTTCTCATTAATTCAACCATAGAAACCAGGCTACCCCGCACCTTCTTCAATCGCAAATTTTTATCTCGACTTCTGTTCAAGCGAGATGGGCATTTTTTTCATTGAAAGCACGGCAAATGAAGCTTTCAGATGATACTGTATCAATAACTCCTTATGCCCAAAAATTGACGAGCGCCTGATTCCACCTGGTCGTGCCACATAATATGTAATATTATATATATAATAGTTCACAAACAGATTTATTGAAATACAGTTCATAAACAGATTTATTGAAATATACCGGTAGTTCATAAACAGATTTATTGAAATATACCGGTAGTTCATAAACAGATTTATTGATAGTTGAAAAACAGATTTATTGCAATACATAAAATACTTTTAAAAAAATTTGTATGATAATATTGATGAATCTATACTGCAACATAAGCTGTTCTTACTTGCATAGTCTGAGTACCGGTACTACTTGAAATATATATATAATGAGTGATCATACATGATGAACCATGGCATGGGGCAGGCCGGAGCAAAGTCTTGAGTCTGATCTGTCACTACAACTGCAACTACCACTACAACTACTACTACAACTAAATCTACAACTACACTACAACTACATCTACCACTACAACTACAACTAAATCTACCACTACAACTACAACTACATCTACCACTACCACTACAACTACCACTACTTTACTACACGTACTAACTAAAAGTCCTAGTACAACTACCACCACAACTACCACTACACGTACAACTACAACTACAACTACCACTACACGTACTAACTAAAAGTCCACTTCTGAGCCATCCGAGTCCCATCCACTGGTCTCCACCACGGCCGCGTCAAAGTCGACCTCCACGTTGTACTGGAAGTCTGGGTCTCCTGGACGTTTGCGATGCTTCTCAAAGGATGTGTCCATCTGTAGTTTCTTGCGCTGAAGAGTCTCCTCATCCACTTTGTTGAGGTTTTCCTCCGGGTTGAGGGTGTCCATGGCGTTGTTCCTCGCCACACTTGCCTCCACACTCAGCCCGCTCAGTTTGTCCTTGATGATGGTGAGGAGTCGCTGCAGCTGGGCCGTGGACAGGAGGCGCACGAAGCGAGCGTGTCTGGGGCTGGCCTTGAGGTCCTCCACCGTCCGATCGATGCTGCTGTTTTTGCTGAAGTTCCTCAGAGGCATGGAACGACGCCGCAACTTGCCAGTTTTCCAGTCCTTGTAGCTGAGCACCAAGGCTGGCGGCTGGAACCTCACGCCACATTTCATCAGCTGTACGCTGTCGGCCATGTTGTCTCTCTGTCGCAACTACCCGTCCACACGCAGCGCAGGGAGCCCGGCCACACACATCAGCCTGGGGAGGGACACAGTGTACCAGGTTTATTTGTCAACTCTCTCAGTGTACAAGGTTTATTTGTCAACTCTCTCAAAGTACAAGATTTATTTGTCAACTCCCTCAATGTACAAGGTTTATTTGTCAATTCTCTCAACGTACAAGGTTTATTTGTCAATTCTCTCAATGTACAAGTTTATTTGTTAACTCCCTCATTGTACAAGGTTTATTTGTCGTCTCTCAAAGTAGATCTACCAGGTTTATTCCCCATTCTCTCAATGTACAAGGTTATTTGTAAAGTCCCTAAAAGCACAAGGTTTATTTGTCAAGTCTCTCAAAGTACAAGGTTTATTCGTCAAGTTTCTCAAAGTACAAAGTTTATTTGTCAACTCACCCAAGTCTTGGAAAAGAAAGAATTCTGAGGCGTGATAACCTCCGCATGGAAAAGAACATGTACATTTTGTACAAGTTAGGGGCTGTTCAAATAGAATCTTACTCCTTTTTGGGGACTTTTTGAACCCCCCCCC